AGAGTTTCTGTGCTTTCTTGCCTTTGAGTGTTTTGTACAGAAGACAGGTCTGTTTCTGGGGTTTCTAAAAGGGAAGATGTGGGGGTGTCACCATATTCATCAACGTCTCCCAAAACACTAAAATAGTTTTGAAACGACGCGCAGGATATTTTTTCAATTAAAAAAATGCATACAAAAAGTATTAACGTGTACGAAATTTTTTTCATTTTTATCTCCCTGTTCCCTTTATCCTTAAGGGTATAATATTTCAAAGAAGTTGCCTCTTTGTTGAATTTGAAACCATAACACAAAGGTTTTGTGCCTGTATTGAAAAATTTAATGTGTTGAAAGTTGTCTTGAAAAAGATGGAAAGAAATTTTACTGATAAAGAATTATCTTTTTAAGAGGCCCCTATGCGTGAAATTGTTTTAGATACGGAGACAACAGGACTCGATCCTCAAACAGGGCACCGCATGGTGGAAATTGGTTGTGTAGAGCTTTTCAACCATTTGCCAACCGGAAAAACGTATCACGTTTATATCAACCCAGAAAGAGACATGCCCCAGGCTGCGTTTGAAGTTCATGGCCTTTCGGAAGAGTTTTTTCGGGAACATCCCGTTTTTAAAGAAGTTGCTCAGGGGTTTTTAGATTTTATTCAAGAAGACACCTTGATCATACATAATGCGGCTTTTGATATGAAATTTTTGAATGCCGAGCTTCAAAGAGCGAGTTTTCAACCCCTTTCTTTTGGGCGTGTTAAGGACACCTTAAAAATCGCTCGAATGAAGTTTCCTGGTTCTCCAGCCAGCTTAGATGCTTTATGTCGTCGATTTGGTGTGGACAACTCAAATCGCGATAAACATGGAGCACTTTTAGACTCAGAACTTTTAGCGGGGGTTTATTTAGAGCTTATTGGAGGGCGTCAACCTGGATTTTCTCTTGACACTCAAGAGGGTAGAGTTGGGATCAAGGTACAAAAAGAAGAAGATTACAATGAAGTTTTGACGCGTAAAGCGCGCCCAAGACGTTCCCCTACCTCTTTATCGCCTCATGAACAAAATGCTCACAAGGCAATGTTAGAAAAGCTAAAGTCTCCTATTTGGAAGCAACTTTCTTTTTAGGTGGCTCTTGCTGTTGTTGTTCATAAAGGGCTGTAAAATCAACAGGGGCGAGCGCAAGAGGAGGGAAGCCCCCTTCACGGGTGAGGTTTGCGATCACAGCACGCGCAAACGGAAATAGAAGTTGTGGACAATCAATCAAAAGAAGAGGACGAAGTTTTTCTTCTGCTTGAAAGGCTTTGTCTTCTATTGTGAAGATGCCAGAATAAGAAAGCTCCACAAGAAACAAACGATCTTTATCTCTTTTAGCGTCCCCTTGAATGCTTAACGTTACTTCATATGTATTTTCAGCAATTCCTTGTGCTTGGACATCAACACCAACAGAAATATCTGGTGATTTTTCGTTTGGGAGGAGGTTTTTTGTTGGATCAGGATTTTCAAAAGATAGATCTTTGATGTATTGTGCATTAATCACAAAAGGGGGTGTGGACATGAAAAGTCTCCATTTAATTTTTAAACGATTAAACATAGCGAAAAAACATCTGTGTCGCTAGAATAAGTCTACAAATTCATCGAGGGGGACTTTTAAGCTGATGTTAGATCTTATATTTTGGCGCTAGTTTCTGGGGTTATTCTTTATCACCTTTACACAACCCTTGGTCGAAAAAATGACGAAAATACAGCACGCACCACGAAACAGCAAAAAGCGAAAATTATTCCTTTGGCTAAAGATAGAAACACTCAGATCAAAATGTCTAAGAGATTGTCTCTTCCTGAATCCTATCAGCCTTTAGAGCCCTTACTTAAAAAAGACCCTTCTTTTGATCCCGAGGCTTTTTTAAATGGTGCAAAGTCTGCATTTAAAATGATTGTAGAAGCCTTTGCAAAAGGAGACCGAAAAACCTTAAAGCCATTGTTGAGTCCAACAATTTATAAGAATTTTATTTCAGCAATTGAGAAAAGAGAAAAAGAAGGAGATGTCTTGGAAACCTCTGTAGATGGTTTTCAGAAAGTAAAAATTGTACAGTCTGGAATTCGAGGGCGCTTAGCTGAAGTGACAATTTCTTTTATTTCAAACCAAGTTTCAAAGCTTAAACAAGCTTCTGGCGAAATCATAGAAACAGATCCAGAGGGATTTGATGAGGTTGTGGATACGTGGACTTTTGCGCATGATATTCGGTCGAGCGATCCAAATTGGCAACTCGTCGGGGTAGAAGAGGAGGGGGCATAGCCTTTGTTGCCAAAAGCTTCTCGTCATTTATCTTCCTTTTCTGGATGGTCTTTAGAACATTGTGAGAGACTCTCAAGCCTTTACAATAAAGTTCTTTATGCTGGATTTTCTCTCCCTAAAAACAAACTTAATAAAAACTGGAGCCCCTTTTTTGAAGAAAATTTTGAGGTTTCTGCAACTTATGATGGCTTATTTACAGGGTATTATGCCCCAACTTTAAAAGGGTCTAAAACGCGGTCAAAAAAGTTTTCGACACCGCTTTATGCTTTACCAGGCTCTAAAACTGACCAAGAAATGACCCGAAAAGAAGTTTATCAAGGAAATCTTTTCAATAAAGGGTTGGAACTTTGCTTTGTTGAAAACAAAGTAGAAGCGTTTTTTCTGGAAATTCAAGGGTCTGGTCGAATAGAGTTAGACTCTGGAGAGCATTTTTATGTGACATATGCTGGCCAAAATGGACACCCTTATCGGGCATTGGGAGCGGTTTTTTTAGAAAAAGGATTGATGAAAAAAGAAGATATTTCAATGGCTTCTTTGAAGCGTTTTCTTTTTGAAAATCCGGAAGGTACTCAAGAGCTTATGGAGGAAAATCCCTCTTTTGTTTACTTTCAAGAAAATCAAGAAGGGGTTTTAGGGACAGGGGGTGTTTTTTTAGAAGGTGAATACTCTTTAGCTGTTGATGAAAGAATTCTACCGCTTGGGTCTTTGGTTTGGGTTGAAACAACTCTTTATGATGGAACTCCTTTTCAAAGACTAATGATCGCATTAGATACGGGTGGAGCCATTAAGGGAGCCGGTCGGGGAGATATCTTTTTTGGTTTTGGGGAGAAAGCAGAACATTTAGCAGGGCACCAGAATGCTCCTGGAAGAATGGTTGTACTAACGCCTCAGAGGGGTAAAAAGTGACTTCTTCAAAAGATCGCGATGTTTGGAAACGTTTTTTAGAAGGAGTGACGCCTCTTTCAGATTCTGGCCATCCAGAGGATCTTTTTATCGAAAAAGAACCCTTGTCAAAGGAAGTTAATCCGCCGGGGCAGTCTTTTGATAGGAAAAAAGACAAACAAGTTTCCAAGAGACAATCAATTGTTCGAGAAACAGCTCCTCAAAAAAAACCAGGTGTTTTTGCTTCTATCGACCTTCATGGGTTTACCCAAGAAAAAGCCCGTCAGCATTTATTGTTAGGTCTTCGAAGACTCCAGGAAAATCGTTCTAAGTGTGTTTTGGTGATTACTGGGAAGGGGACAAGAGGGTTAATTGAGACGGGGGTTTCTGGGCGTTTGCGTTTAGCTTTGACCCAATGGGTTTCTCAAGAGGATTTTAA